TAGTAAGACGCAAACAAATACATCGTCATACTAGAACATTATCATTCTGTTGGAACACTGTATAAGTAATGCTAAGGCTTGGTAGTGCGTTCAAGTTAGGGGAGATGATATGACCAATACTAATACGCTAAGATACTAGCCTTCGTGCGGCGTATTGTTTTCCGACTTTTGGAATAGGTACAATAGGTGAAGAGATAATTTTCGTGTATTTCTGTTTCGGTTCGGGCATCTGGGCACTATTCCAGCCCTCTCACAAATCGAGTGATTTATGTGGATCATGTCTATTTGGTGCCTCCTTGTACTGATGTTTATATGTTTAAATAAATAAATTCTATGAAAGAAGAAATTTGTGTTGAATTGGCACTCGCCTTTCCATTATAGTTCGCCGGATGGACCCAAGGAATCACTCAACTTGGAGGCTCTAGGCGTCATCAAAAGTAGTACAGAATATAGATCGTTGTCAATCCTACTGTTTCTTGTTTCATTCTCCATAAATAGCAGGTTGAATCAATTTAGATGAATTCCATCTTCATGTTTCTTTGCTTCGTTAATGCCTTTGACTTCCGTTCTTTGTCTTCTAGATAACCGTCCAACTTTAATTTGTCCACAAAATTGTTATACGGCATATTTTTTACAGTCCTGTTTGATGATTCTTGCAAAATGAACGCTATTTTCGTTTCCTAAGCTACTCTGTAACCCCCAAACTAGAACTGTACGGCGACCTGAACACGAGAGAGAAGACGCAAAGTATGCGAGATGTACTTCACTCCAAGGTTCATTTCAATACAGAAAATATAGGGTTTTTATAATATTTTAAATGTCCTGGGGTTGCTCGAAGATTCTGAAATGCTACTAAACATAGTAGCAGTATAGCAATCAGCCAATCAGAATCTCTACATGTGACGTTTTACTTCCCTGATATTTCTGGCTAAAACATTGATTGAACGCGGATTGGATGAAACGCTTCTTAGTGTTTCCTGATCCTTGTCTTTTGCGAGAAATTTTCTGGATCACCCTAAAACTGTTGTACTCAACATTTTGAGTAAGTATTGAAAGCAAATAAGGTGTTTGGAAATCTTCGCAAGCATTAAAATTTATTTATTTATTTGAACACATAAATATTGGTACAAGAGAGCGCCAATATATATGCGCCACACAAAACAACGGGAATTCGAAGAGAAGTAGAAAGAAAAAAAAAAAACTAAGGAACGCAAAAGAAAAGGAGAGTAATGACGAAGAGGTACAATCAGAAGAAATCTTTCAGTTAAGGAAGACAACCACTTTTTATGAAGAAAGTAAAAGGTTACAGCAGGATCGCCACTGGCTTCTATTCTGAGCCATATCTGATAACGTCTCTAGCCACTGTGTAGCACCATCTCTCGGACCCCAACCAGGGAGTCGTGAAGGACCGACACAAGCCAGTCCTTTGCAGCTTTCTTTCATGCCACGACACCATGTCATGCACTGACCACCTCTCCGCTTCTTCCAACCAGTCCCAGAGTCGGCAAATAATGCACGACGTGGAATTCTCTGGGACGACATTCGGAGAACATGTCCAAGCCACCGAAGTCGGTGTTTCAAGATGGTGACACCAATTGAGTTATCATCTCTGTGCCCGAACACACGATGCCGAACCTCTGCATTACTCACATGGTGTTGCCACTGAATGTCAGCAATCCTTCGGAGACAGCGATGATCGAACACAGAGAGTCGTCTAACGTCCTCAACTCGGAGAGGCCAGGTTTCACAAGCATAGAGCAAAACTGCTCTCACCGACGCGTTGTAGATCCGGCCTTTTACAGCCAGACTAACATCACGAAGGCGCCAAAGGTGGCCCAGATTGGCATAAGCCGCTCTGGCTTTCACTATTCGTGCATTGATCTCATCACTCACACCTCCACCAGCACTTATGCAGCTACCCAGATACACGAACTTCTCAACTACGTCTATCTGCTCACCGTCCAGGGTGAGTACAGGATTGGAATCCTGCCAGTCTTGTAGAAGTACTTTGCACTTCGAAGGTGCAAAGCACATACCATACCTACGGACACTGATTGCCAACTGATTAAGTGCGGATTGCATGCCTTGGGCATTATCGCACAGTAAGACATTATCGTCCGCATACTCAAGGTCAAGAAGTCTTTCTCCAGGCAACAGATCCACACCACCATTACTTACATTCATCAGAGCTGTTTCCAGAATGTCATCGATGGCAAAGTTGAAGAGGAATGGTGAGATTGGGCAACCCTGCCTAACCCCACTGCTCGAATGGAACAATGGAGAGAGGTGGTTGTATGCCCTCACTCTGCCTGAGGTGTTTTTATACAGGGCTTTTAGGATGTTAATAAACTTCTCAGGCACACCCTTCTTCAATAGACAATCCCAGAGAACAGTCCTATCCAACGAATCGAAGGCAGCCCTGATGTCAAGAAACACTACGATTGTTGGCCTTTGAAAAGTATGGCGGTGTTCTAACATTTGGCGGAGGGTGAAGATATGATCAATACATCCTCGACCAGAACGAAACCCAGCCTGCTCCTCGCGAGTCAATCTTTCTCGGGTTTTGAACAACCTACGAAGTATGACGGAAGCCAATAGCTTGGACGCAATCGGAAGTAAACTTATCCCCCGATAGTTGTTACAGGAACGACGTGAACCCTTTTTAAAGATAGGGACAACTATCGACTCATTCCATGACGTTGGCACACTCTCTAGTTCCCAAACCTTTGTGAACAACGTCGTCAATTCCTTAGTCAAAAAGTCACCACCATCTTTAAAAAGAGCCGGAGGTAAGTCATCTGGGCCAGGTGATTTGTAACGCTTCAAGAGTTGGAGTTCCTTGCGGACTTCCTCCTCATTTGGTGGATCAGTCGTCACCGGCCATGGAGGGCAGGACAGTCTGACCGATGTTGCCGGAGCAGCAGGCCAGTTGAACTGCCCTTCGAAAAATTCTGCCCATCGTCCAAGACGTCGATGGATGTTAGTGATTGGCATCCCATCATCCTCGCAGATTGTTTCACTCACACCAGACTTCTTGCTGCCAGTGGCTCGGATGAGTTGGAAGAGCTTCCGGTAGTTACCAGATGCAGCTGCTGCTTCCAGCTCATTAGCACGCATCGACCACCAGGCTTCTCGATCCTTACGCAAGCTTTGCCCGATTTCCTTACGTAAAATCCTTCGTTTATGGTCAAACTCACGGTTACCCGGAGTAGACCGACGGGCTTCAATGAGTTGTAAGGAACCAGAAGAAACCCAGTGCTTAAAAGCGGGACGTTTCGCAAACCCACAACTGACTGTTCCCGCCATTTTCATGGCGTCATGCAATTGCAACCAATGCTCATCTATACTTTTCGGTGGAGTGGTAGCTAGCCTAGAGGCTAGCTCGGTTCGATACTTACTTGCAACAGAAGTTGCAACCAGCTTGCTAACATCAATCCGTTGATGGCGTTCACTTCGTTGTCCACTGAAAAGTAAGGCAAGATTGGCGCAGACCAAGGCATGGTCAGAGTCCAGATAGGTACTCCAAAAGGAGCGGCAGTCTTGTACACAACCACGCCAGCGGTAGCTGATCGCGATGTGATCAATCTGAGTCCAGGCTTGAGATGCAGAGGGAGGACGCCAGGTGGCACATCGGCGATGACTGTGCCGAAAGTTAGTGCTAGCCAGAAACAGGTTGTGGTCTGTGCAAAGTTGCAGTAGACGGTCCCCGTTATCTGACCTGCGACCAACGAGTCCCCATCGGCCACCTAAACGACTCTCTTCTGTGCCTAGACGCCCGACCTGAGCATTCAAGTCTCCGGCTAGTACTACAATATCTGTCGAACGCACTTTCTGGAGAAGAACTGATAACTGGTGGTAAAACTCATCCTTGATTGCATCCGGGCTGCAATCTGTCGGGGCATAGGCGGAGATGACGAAAAGACATCGTTTCTCACGCCGATTTCTTCCCACTTTGATGGAACTTTCTAATCTAACAGCACATAACCGACTGTTAATGGGGATCCAATCGACTAGTGCTGCCTCAGCTCTAGCGCTTAGTGCGACACCAACGCCAGCAAGACCAGACGAAGATGCCACAGGGTCCCCGGATAAGCGCACGTAAAACAAGCTTTTTGAAGTGACAGATGTAGAGCGAATTTGTAGTACTTCGCTAGAGTCTTGAATACGGGTCTCGGATAGACAACAAACATCAATATTAAGACTTTCCAAAGACATAGCCAGCCCTATCTGTTGACCAACCTGCATAAGTGTGCGAACGTTGAAGGCAGCCAGTTTGAATGGCGCACGTGGTTTCAGAAAAACTGCTTCAGTACTCATATTCGATGGTAACATACAACTTTCAACCGGACAGTGACTCGAGAACGTTTAGATACAGTCGAATTTCCACCAAAGCCGAGCCGCTGTATAAGTATGAAAGAGGGTGAATAATGTGGGAAATAATAATAATAATGATAATAATAATAATAATAATAATAACGACAATAATAGTAATAATAATAGTATCAATAATGACAATAATAGTAATGATAATTATTTGAATTGATTGATTGTTTTTGTTTTTCGGAGCGATGAAAGTAGTTGCCAAAGACATAGAGTTCATCGTTTGTGTGTGGGCTGTGATACTGCCCGGGTGCCCAAACCGAAGCAGGTGGTTTTCTTAGGGGGCCACCCCCCGAGCCTTTGACCTAAAGGTCTAACCCACAAGGCAGTGGAGCATCGTAAGGAGATGCAGTCCCATGGTAGCCGGTGACCAACGATTGGTTCATACGCCATTCGTTCCCGCAGGATACTGGAGCCCATGTGCACCATTGATTTGGAATCCGGTTAAAGCGCCGGACATTCGCTTTTCGTCCTCTCATTTTCGTAAACAACACCCCCGCCACGAGAAGGCAATGAGTAGGACTTCCCTGGCAGAGGCTGTATACGCGTGGCCGTGTGAGAGTATTTCGAGAGGGAGAGCGGACTCTCCCCACTCTCGGCCGTACCAGGGCATTCAGGGGGCAAGCATTAAAAACAATGTTTTACAACTCATGAGATGCTATCCCCCTCTCAATTATTGTAAAATTCGTTTGTAAAGATAGTAAGTGGAAACTATTTGACAAAGCATATAGACTACAATTATATTGGCATTATGAAGGTTTTTTAATTTAATTTTAGTCACTGCAAATGCTAATTAGATCTCTATTTATTTTTAAGGTTAGCGGGAGTTGCAAAGATAAAATCAGTGACCCTTATTTCTTCATGTTCCCACTTGCTACTGGTCTGAAAGTTTCAGTTAACAATGTTGGTGAATATCCGGGTGTACATAACAACAGCATGCATATAATTGTCACCTCTGGTTGTAAGTTAGAAATCGTTTGGCTTTCAAGCTCTATTTGAACTAATCCCTTTGCACGAAAAAGTCTATTTACAGGTGGTTTTTCTGCAATGTCAAGATATAATGCTATTTTATAAACAGCAAACATTTTGTGTGGCTTCATAGTCAGTCATTCAGGTTTTTAAACTCGTGTGTATACTGTCCCACTGCATTTTTAGAGAAGAGCATCCAAAACGATTTGGTCCTAGTCTCCATTAATCACTGTTGGCTATTTTATAAAGCCGATTGATTAAATTACACTCAGTCACTCTGTCATCCAATAGCAACCCTGTAAGTTTATTTGGTCTGATCTATCCAACATCTTATTCTTTACCTCAAATAAAAATTTCCTATAGTCCTATTTTTGGTAATTTTTGTGCTGTTCGTACTACAAGCCAAGAGTTGTGTTTAATAATTGGAGCCAGGGAGTCTTGAAATCGGTTCAACTGTGATAGGTAGCTAAACTTTAATTATCTTCAGGTTTTCCCGAATAGTTATGGCTACACCCTCTAGAACGAGTTTACTTGACTCATTTTTCTTTAGTTTAGATATGGAAACAAATCATAATGGAGATGGGAATGATTCTTTGCTAGTATAAATTTCCTCTCACTGTGGTATGGTGTTTGAACCATTGTATCAGTGTAAGATTTGTTAAGCGACCATGTATGACTGATAGTCATATGAATCAGCTATACAATTGACGTTCATGAAGAGCTAAGGCCAGGCAGATCAAGTTATGGTATCTTTTCATATGGTTACTGGATATTTATCTAAGATACTTCAGTTGTTACAAATACCCCATTTAAGTGGGACATGTGGGATGATTGTGATTTACGATCTAAGCCGCTTAGTGGCTTCGCTTAAAACTAATCACACTGGTGTAGCTTTATTCATTTTTAACTTTCCTCTAAATCATGAGTTAATAATTTTTTCATACTTTTCGTTACATGACATCACTTTTTCCTTTAGAACTAAATACTTTGTGCTTAGCTTCCCATTGAAGATGATATTTCTTCTTATTTGCTTTTCATCTTGTTGTTGTTTATCACTGTAATGATATGCGGTGTTGGTGGATGCATATTTTTGCCAAGTTTTATGTTGTTTAGACTGATTGATGACTGGTTGTGTGAAATGAAGCAATACTTTTTATTCTTATCATAAAATCTAGTTATCTTCACCTTCAAATCACTGTACCTAAAATACTGTCCACAGAAATTAGTTAACGTACAGTAATTGAGATTAGATGTAATTTAAGATCCTCATAACAAAATAATATAAGTCATATTAAATAACATTACTACTCTATACCTACTATATTTATTGTTGTATTTGTGGTCGTACTATCGATTAGTTGAATTATAATTATTTTGGTATCAATTCTGTTACTTCTGTTATTTCCCATTATAATTTAGATCGTTTACCACCGGGTGTTTTTACCTGTCCATCGGGATTTTTTGCTTGTGATACATTTGATAAAATAAATGAACGTCGCAACTCTCATTTGCAATGGCCTTATCGTATCTGTTTACCCATGCGATTATGGTGCGATAAAGTGTTGAATTGTCCGATAAGTGGTTCGGATGAGCAAAATTGTTCATCTACACCTCCTATGAGCTTTCCACATACAAAGTTTCAGATTGAAAACGAATATCGAATGCTAAATGATGTTTTAAATCAATTTGAGAATACAAGTTTATTAGAATTTGTTGGTTATCGGAAAAAAACTTCTAAACAACCGATTACTATGGTGCTGTCTGCATACGTCAACACGTTTTGGTTATCACTTATACTATTGATTTCGATATTTATTATATTTATTATAACTATTTTATTATGTTTATATAAATTATTAAAACGCAAACGCGAAGCTGGTACAGTGAGAGTTACTGAAGTAAAGGATTATCCTACAAACTCTGAAATCTGTAATGATCATACATTGAAAAATAGTATAAACAATAATCATTATTCAGAGAATGCTTTCTCTGAAGATCAATTAAATAAGGAAGAAACTTGTAATGATGATTTTCAGAATAATAATAGCAGTAATGGTAGTGGTAATAATGAATATCATAAAATTTTACCAAGTGATGTTAATTACCTGAATGGTTATTTGAACTCACTGGGTAACCAAGAGATAGCTCCACTCATTAATGTGACAGAAAAACAATAGCAAGTAATTATGATCGTGTGTGGGATAGGAAGTACGCTTGACAATACATATATGGTTCATTTGACTTTATAAATTATCAATTCATTGTTAGCTGCATTGTACTTCCTTTACTTCGTTTAACGTTTTCTACACTTTGCATCTATTATCTATGTTTGGTGCATTTTGTGTTTTGAGATTGTGCGTCTTTTTTAACGATACAAAATGTCTTAGTACCCGGTAGGATTGGAGAAATAAATTCTTTTTCTTAGCGTATTATGTTTTAGTGCTCAACAAAAATATATATATTCATCTGAGTTGATTATCTTTCTGGTATCCATGTTGATTTTCATCCAAACTAGTGGTTATCCTTTCATCGTTTATATATAATTTAAACTTCCTCTAACTTACTATTCATTCAGCTATTTGGTTCCAGAAAAAAACATCATTTAAAAACCACTCTGCCTATCTGTTGTGATTAAAATTATTTATGACATTTAAATGTATCTCTAAAATCACATTATATTTGTTCTCATTCATCCATTTTGTTATACTCACCATGGTATACCAGTTATCAAGATATATATTCATAACGTCATTATTTTGCATTTTTATACATTTTCTGATTATTAATAATAAGACAATATTTTTGTCGTAATCCATACTTAAGGCAATACTTTCTTTTCACATAAATTTTATTGTCACAATTATTCACTGTTGAAATTGATTTAAAAATCTATTACTGATGTTACTCTGGTTATCATTGATAATGGTTACTAGTGTAAACGAGCACGTATTGAAAGAGTTAGTAGGTATTCTTATTACCTGTTGGCTTTTTCTGCTTAATGACTGAGTTGGATGGAAAGATGCTCAATTAATTATCCGAAACGTCTCAGGATTAATGATGATAATTTATTGTTAGACCCTAATGTAAAAATAATCCATTTTTGGTCAGCTCTATCAGTGACCTAATGGGTAGACATTTGCGTGCAAGATCGAACGTTGGGGTTGGATTCCCAGACACGCACTGCTGTAGAGCTCCATATCAGGATTAAACAGCTGTCGATTGTTTCTTGGTTTTTAATGCCGATCTATCTAAGACAAGTTTGCGCTTTAGAATCTGAAAATTCCATAATCACGGAGAAAATTATTACCTGTTTTGGCAACTAACGACATCAGTGTGGCGACAAATGCACTCAATTATTTTTGTGTAGGATATATGGATTAATTTTTATAGCTGAAGTTGGTATTCAAACTACATATATGGAAAACTGGGTTATTCTGAAATACAAACGTAAAGGGTGTATTGAAAAAAACTAACTCAACTGTCATGGAGCGACATGTTTTTATCTCAATGTACGGAATATTAGCGTATAACAAAAACAGCTAAAACTACATCTGATCAAATATCTAGGGAAGTATCTGTGTATTACTGTAGTGAACAAGCTTAGCTGACTATTAGGCCATCAGGTTTACAGCATCTTCGTCTTGCTAGTTTAAAAGTGTTTCATTTCACCTGTAATAATCATTAATTAGTGTACTTCACTATTGAGTCAATAATATAACTATAACATTTGAGGACTATCAGTAGTAGTCGGGGTTTCTTGTTATCTTCGTTTATTTGTACAATATTGAATAAGGTAGAATTGTGTCGATATCCTATTGGTTGGTGGCTTACTGGTGAAAGCAATTAGTTTTCCACCATTGGGCTCCAAGTTCCACCTCAATATGAGTAGTATCAGTAGGCCTTTCATAAGATATAGGACTCCAATCAGGGGCATGTTCTTGTAATTGGTTATTGGTCAAATCCAAATGAAAACAATGATGTCCAACTAGTATTTCAGTTACATTAGTACTCTATGCTAATGAGTATCGATATTGGTTTAACTTAATTTCCTGTTAGACAAATCTAAAACATCGAACTTTAGAATTTCCATAACTGGTCCTTGGGGCGCTATTATTCACGACTAACAGCTCTTATTGTTTCACCTATTCAAACCACAAACTTTCTGAGTTTCTCTCTACGATAAGAATATATTAAAAAACCTGTTTAAATTTTAGATATTTTTGGTAGAGAAAGAAAATAAGGACTGAAAAAGCAAGGAGACAGGAAAAATGAGTATTAAACCCAGCTTCGTGATACCGGTTTACTCATTTACTCAACCATCAACATATCTAGCCTTCGTGTGTAATCTAGGAATCAGAGTACGGATATATGTTTAATTACTTATTTACATTTTGATGTACGGTTGTCGATTGGATAGCTTATCAATGATAACAGATAAATAAATACACTTATGTTCTGATAATCGGTTTCCATGGTTTTATGCTGAATAATTTATCTATACATTCTACAATTCATTTACATTTAAGAATAACGTCTGTGTAAAGTTCTGTTATTTCGTCATCACTTTATCCGAGTTGATTTTATAAAAAACATTTGCTAATCGTATCATGTTAAGTTTTGTATACTCTATCTTTAAACAAACTGATACTATTGATAGTTTAAAAAAATCTTAAGGATGGTAACTTATATTGAAGTTGGAATTCATTATATTTAGTTATTAATATTCAATGATTGTTATACTGAAAAACTTTAATGAAAGGTATTTATAAATAACTAAATAGATTAAAGGAATCAATAAATCGTTTTTAAACATATACTATTCTAATAGTTCCAGATAGCACTTAGGATATTAGAAATATATTCTTGAAAATCAGTATTTTCACTTGTTCCTATCATCTTACTTAAGTCTGCTACTCCTCGTGAAGGAGCGTAGGCCGCTCTTTATCCAACCCTGTCCTGATCAATTCATCGTTTTCATATCTGCTATTATCCGACGTAATGTGTTCTTCGGTCTTCCTCTTTCCCGTTTCCCTTCAAGCATTCCAAGTTAGGCCTTGCCTCGTGATGCACTTTGATGATTTACCTAATGTATGTCCTATCCATTTTCATTGCCTTTTCCTAATTGTCTATTTCTTAGATTTATCTTGATGGAGTTTTGTTCTCTAAGCTGGATGGTTTAGTCATGATTTATCTGAAATTATATTATATAAAAAGTAATTTGTATTTAGTAATAAGGTGATAGAATTTTCCCTTAAGTTATTAATTCACAATACCAAATTGAATAGAGAATCAATGAAACTTCTATCTTCTTTATCCCTATTAATTAACTAAAAAGTTCAAACTTGTCAACAACAAAAAAGTTTTATGATTAAGATCTAACAAGAATTAATTCACGTTTGAGTGCATTGAATTATATCACAATTAATTTCATTGATGATTAGTTAACGAATTTACCAAACCAAATTAATTTTACCATAAAGCAAAATCATTTAATTTACTAACATAATAAAAATGCACTGAAAATTTAAATAAACAAGATACATATTAAATTAATTCATACAATGGAAGTATATTCTAAAAGTTATTTTAACAAAAATCAGTATATAAATTTGAAAATAGAATTCTTTCTTATATTCACCTTTTAAAAGTCAAACCGGATTGTATTCTGAAATCTTAAATAAATAGATTTCGAAATTGTTGAATAAAACAGCCAAGTTCCGAATTGTTTTGTCAAACTCGCCTACCATTCTTGGATGTGTTAAGGATAAACTTCCGCTTTGGGCCACATCAATGTGTTTCTATAAATTTACTTGGTCATATGGGGTACGTTTTATAGGCCGCACAAAGCGATCTCTTTCTTATACATTATAATTGTGGATTTTACATATTTAACAGTCAAATAGACATTACTTAAACAAATAGATGGTTTAAAAAAAACTGCATTACAGACATGTACTGATGTATACTGCATTTCAGTGATAAAGAAAGTTAAACTTCAAATTAAAATATTAGACGAATCTCTACATAGTACAACTCTAATAATTATATGCAGCTACTGACTAGCTTCAAGATTAACTTCCAAAGTTATAATGAAAAACCATCACCAGTGGAGTCACTTATGTCACTAGTGAAGTAACTACTCATCTTTGAAATTTATTGTTCATTATGATTTGCCTCAGAAATTTAACAAAGGTCTAATAATTCGACTGTTTAATTTATATAAAAAGGAGTTCATTCTTTAGAAACAAGGATAGTAGGTTATTTGATATTCTTAGAATACCCGCTTTCTTCTTGTAGGCGTTCACTGAGTTAGCTAATACTGTTTTTTTTTGGTTGTGAGATCTAATGGTTGGTGAAGTATTTTGAAATACGAAGTTTAGGGTTTACATCGTAGGGATTCAGTGATAACCAAATACCACTGCTTGGGTGTTTTTTTTTCAGCATCGGATTTTTCAGAAGTATACACCCACGACCCTTAAACTATCCCCACTCACATCATTTCTTAACAAAATGAATTTCATTCGATCATGGTTTATTGAAACGTTTAGAAATAGCTTCGAAGGACTGTTCTCAAAAGGAAACCAATAGACAAGTCATTTTAGCATACAATTCACTACTTAAGTTGCGGAATGCTGAAATATGACCACCTCTAGTTATGTGAAAATAGAAAGGGATGAGATCTAGATCCCTCAGTCGCCTTTCATTTGGATAGCCTGAGAAGCTCGGTTCCTAACGATTTGTATATTTAATGACGAATGAACCTTCTGGTTAGGAGTAATACTGCAAATGGAGTTTTATCTAAATGGGAAGTAAAATCCTCATCATAAACTGATCAAACCATCAAAAGGTTCTTTGATACGACCGCAGTACCTGAAAATCTTTGACGTCAGCTGTATTGTGGTATTTGTTTATCTTTCGTTTTGTCAGATATTTTAATCAATAGCAGCGAATAAAAGATTATCATATCACTTGATAGATAAGATGAAAATAAAAGAAACTGATTAATGTAAAGAATAAACTTGGACCAAATATGTGATACTTGCTTTAAGTACACGTAGTAGTGAATTCAGTGTAGTTGACAATGTTTTTATTTACTTGAAATGCTTTAGCACAAGTTACTGATCCATTTTTAGATTATAGTCATCAGTATCAGATAACATTTTAGGGTTTTCTTTCA